AAAGGACAAACCAAACCTAGAGCTCGAGGCCGCCTAAAAAAGGAGCCCTCGACCTGGGGGATGGCTGTTGTGTGGGAAAATGTGATGGACACCTGGACCAACGGTGCCACGACACGTGGCTATACTTACTTTCCACCGAGCACCCAACCCTCGACGCTTCGTTTCCCTCAAGATCAGCTATAGAACCCGAAGATGAAGTCCATAATTAGGGCGACGACCCCGTGAGGCGTCGACGGTTGATTTCGCCTGGGTCGACACGACAAGATCCCTCGACTGCAGAAGAGATCACTAAAGGGGGCGAGAAAGGTTTAAACAATCACTGACGACGAGGGGAACGTCCCTTTTCGACGTGATAGGTTACATGCAGAGGTAAGAGAAGTCTGACAGCATTAATTGCAAGTTTACAAACCGCCTCCCCCAGGGGACAGAAAAGCATTACGGAGAGTTACAGAGCCGTAATAGAAGACTAATTGGTTGAGTGAACAGTACTAATTAGTGGGCTATGTCTGGGCCTAGAGAGGGAGAACACTTGAGTGTTCCTACCTACGAAGGAAACCCACCCAGTGAAGGAAGCCCGAATATAAAAGAAGAAGGACCCCAATAGGAAAAAGGGGCCGAGAAACTTCAAAAGGAAAAAGAAAGAGAGAGAGAGAGAAAGAGAGATGATATTCATTGTAAACTCAGATTTCCCCAAAAAGCAATATAGTATATACAGTGGATGTAACTCTAATTTTGTAGAGTGAACCACTATAAAATTCTTCTTGTTCATTTACATACAGTTCATTCAAACACAAAAATACTTAAATTCAACCTGAATCCACACTTTCAATAAACCCACAAGCCGGTAATCCAAAGGGGAACCCCATGGTATTCCGGCGGGTTTATTGTTGACGAAATCCAACCGTCAACAGAGCTCATTGCCAGCAGCATTGGAAAATCCCAAGTGCTTTTCTTCCCCAAATCTTGCTTTAATGAGGTCTTTAAATACAAAGAATTGCACTCTTCTTCTTGCATATCTTATCTTAATTTGCATTTAAATATTGGAATATGCTTGGTTCTAAATACTAAAATCAAGGGATTAAATTGTCTACATTGATGGTTTGACATATCTAGTAATCTCAAAACCCATATTGTTGTTTTACCCTTAATGTGAATTGTGAACATGATTTCAAGCAATTACTTTTTCTTCTCTCTTTAAAATCGACGTTCTCTCTCCCTCTCTCTCTAAAACTCCAAACAGCTAGAGCTTCCTAGCCGGAGTTCCGGCTCGTCGTTAGGCCTTTGGCCACCAAATTTCATCTTCGATCTCACAGCGAGACGATTTACTAGGTGATGTGCTTCATGCAATTAGAGGAGGTGACGATTCGTCCGATCTAGACAGTGAAAAAAATGGTTCTTGGTGGTTTTACACGATTTTCTAGTGGTGTTTGCTGAACATTGGCTCTGCAACTTCAGGGACAGACTCATAGAAGGAAGGCGCTCGAAGGTCTCTGGAGTGTTGGTCGATTGGCTATCGTTTCTGAAGGCGCATGGGACCCGCGCACAAGTGACTTGGCGATACGTGGGGTGGCGTGGCCACTTCACGTATCTCCAGCTTCTTCTAGTTGCTTGTTCACGTTGTTCCGGCCTTCTCCCGTGACATTTTGTATGTATTGGTTGTGGATCTTTGTTGCGTTTTATGGTTTTTATCGTAATAACAGTGATGGTTTCTCCATCAATCAACGTTTTATTTAATCTAAATGGCTCACCGCTCTTAGTTGGCCCACCTTGGGACTATGATGTAATTCTTTTTGAGTCGATTTATGTGGACGAATCATGTTTTCATACCATTTATTGTAGAACTTTTCTCCGTTATTAGGTTATGGGTGCGTTTATATTCCCGAATAAATCTGATTAGTTTGCGTGAAACCCGTTTCTATGGATCTTAATTTGTGTATATATCATGACCTTTTACTGGCCTTTTCATTATATGTTTCTCTTTGATTAGCGAAATATATATATATATATATTGTTTTACCTTAAAATAGAAAACAAAAATGTTACGAACAAGTTACTCTTTTTTTTGTGGCAAAGAAAAATCAAGTTACCTATTTGAATGCAGAAGCTATCCAAATAAAATAAGTCAATGAAGATTTTTCAAGAGCGCATTTAGAATCTATTTCAAAATGATTTTATTTTGTGTATAAAAATAGAAATGATAATGTTTTGAGATTTGTGTAAGAATCAATTGTGAAAATCCATTTGACAGTTTTATTGAGAGATTATTTTCAGTATAAAAAAAACGGAAACCCTATTTAATTATACAAAACATCATGAATAAAACCACGAATCTGAGCATCAAGAATAGATAATAAAAAATGTATAACAAAAAAAATTCAACTTAGAACAGTTCACATAATCATGGCCAAAAAAACTACAAATATTAATCCCCGTTAGATAATAAAATGTAGATCTAATCCCTAATGAAAATCCACAAATCACACAAACATGAATATTTTTTATAATAAAATGAGAAAAACCTAATAGGATGAATTTTTAATAGTTACGTTTCTATCGGTGGTCATGTTTAAATATAAAAATTTGATAACATGACGTGATAAAAATCTAATTTCATTCATTATTATTAATTTCTTTTGGTCAACTATTAGCTTGTGATTAAAATACTAATATCCATTGATGGATAAATGTTAGAGTAACTATTAAAATTACACCCAAATCTAATAAAATAAGAGAAGAGAAATCTGAGACATAAGTGATACACAGAATCTGAGACACAAACTGAGGCAATCACATACAAATTTGAGATCAATCTCACAAAAATCTGATAAAAAAATTAAAATCCAAAACGCTCTAGATTTGAGACTAACAACCACCATTGCACAAATAACACATAAAACTCATCAAATAGAACTTAAAGCAGCAGATAAACATGCATACCGGGAAGGAGCGGAGTCTAGTACCAAATCCAAAGGGATAATAAAAAATAAAAAAATAAAAAAGCTAGCACGTAGCAACACTCGACCAAAGAACGTGCTCAGTTTGTCAAACCCAGCAAATAAATCTAGAACGAAAGTTGAGCACAGTTGTGTGTGTTTTGTTTAACGTAGAGAAGCCCACGAGTGGTTAGAGAAGAAAAAAAAAAAAAAAAAAAAAAAAAAAAAAAAAAAAAAAAAAGGAAAATGGTCTTTACCATTTCTAAAAAGCAGCGTAAAAAAGATAAACGAGAAAACCAATTTTCGTCCCTTTTTTATTAATTAATGGACCGAACGGGTTCTAAAAACTAACTTTAAATTTAGCGCCTCAATATTTATGAGAAAACGCTTTAAAACGGGTTCTAAACACGCCGTAAGTGTCCAAGTTCCATCTTATCGAAAATTTCAAGTTGTCATTTCCTGCAAATAAAATTTAAAGCTAAAAAAGCATGGAAACCAAAAGAGTAGAGAATTTAAAGTTAGATAACTCAAAGTGGAAAACAAGGAACTAAAACAAGGAAATAGTAATCACTTCCTTGCATTTGCAGATGATATTTAACAAGTGCAATTGTTTCCATAGAAGAAAGCAAAGGACTTAACTATCAACAACTGCAAAAATTAAAACTTCGTTATTGCGTTTGAAAATGTCAGCTGAAGCAGCAAATGGTAATCCAATATGAGATTTTGCATGTGGTGTCCAATTTTTAAGTTTCAAAGATATTTATTCCCGTTCGGTTCGCTAATTTGAGTTGAGATGTGATGTTGTGTGAAAGCTTTTTACTGTAGCAAAAAAGTTAGATGTGACTGTTTCTGAGAACTTTTTACTGTAGCAAAACTCGAATTCTAAACTCGAATCAGCGAAAAGAACGGGACCTAATTGTATTTACACGAATTAAAAAAATTACGAGAATCCCACATTCGAAGGGGACAAGATATCTTCTTTCAATGATTTTATATAAGCAACTAAGAGTTTCCTTTTATATTCACATATCATAATTAAACAAATGGCCTATATTGAATGTTCTTTTAAAATTTTTTGAAGTTTAGAATCATATACTGTTGAAAAAATTGAAGTTTTATTACGGTCTCAAGAAACTCGTACTGAAAAGAACTCAAAGGAACTTTTAAGAAGTTTTCCGGGCCAATTTCATAGTATCAACGCTGCCAACTCGATTTGAGTAGCAGCAGGATACGGTTTATGAGCGAAAACCATTGATTGATTAAAGACCAAAATCAACAATTTCATCATTTCATCTTTGAGAACCTATTTGCCAATCTGATCTCCGCATAAGTTATAGCGCTTCTTGATTATCTTTTTGGTAATTAGTTGTCTCATTATTTATCATTAATTCTCAATTCAAAATCTTTTTCTTTTCTTGTTAGAATAATTTGGATTCTCATAAAGAAAACTGTTTTATTAACAGCGTGAGTGTAAAGTATGAATTCCACCAAAATATTTCTGGATATGCATATAAATGTTACTATCTCGATTTTTTCGGCTGCGTTGTCCTCTTAGATTGTAATGGAAAGCAAAGAAAAAGATGGTAGGAAAATAATACGAGATACACCTTATTTCAGTATCATATGGTTAATTACGGGTGAACCAAATTATGTAAGAGTAGATTTGAAAATTTTGTACAAATTTTCTGAAAAGAAAAGGTTTGAAAAATCTGTAATGTAAATGCTGATTAATGAATCCGTAGGCATATTCGGTCCTAACATTAAGCTAAACAGCAGGACATACAATATCCCGTTACGAAACTTTTTATTTTTTTTTTCGTTAAGCTAAAAAACATGTTTGATATTAGATTCTTATCACGTTATATCATCAAATTATAATTAAATTTTACACATTTAACGGTGGTATCTCAAAGAACATAAAAATTATTGAACTCTACTCGTGCATTTTATGAGTATTTGCCTCTTTTCCTTATTAAAAAATAATAATTTATATCAGTTTGTGTTAATCTGGATACTTTATATAATGTTAATGCGATTTTCTCCATAGCTCCATATTTATATTAGAAGAAAAAAGAAAAAGAAGAATTCCACTAGAACCCAATTTACAATGCTCTTGCCACCTTCAAAACCAGTAAAAGGGGGAAAAAAGGTGAAAATGAACAAATTGAATATAGTAAAATGGGAAGGAAATTCCCCTTGTCCTGTACAATATGTATATATGAGTGTGTGTGATTTGTGTTTCTTTTCTTGTTCAAAGAGTGGCCAAAATTAACAAAAATGAAATTTTGGTTTGCTAGAAAGGAGCAGTGACTGCATCCCTTAATTCTGGATTTTGTAAGCCATGATCATGATGATGATGATTATCAGCGTCTACGAGCTCCAATTCAACACCAAATGTTCCTGCCTTCATTCCTACAACACTCACCACTGGCTCCAAACCCTGCAATATTATATTATATTAAATTAATCCAACTACTTAAAAAACCACTCAAACATGAAAATAACGAATTACAAGTTATAATAAAGCACATGATATGAAATGGTATAAATATATTAATTTCTTAAATTGAAAAGCAATGTTATTCGTTATTTACAGATATTTCATTCCGTGACTCTATCAAAATCATCTATTCATGATATATGTAAACCGCCTCATAATTTCATCCAAAATTTTAAACCACAAAACTACTATATTAATGTATAAAGATAAAGAAACCAGAAGATGACGAAATCGTCAATAGACAAGAAAAAGAACAGATGAATCACACCAAAAAGAGAAATAAAAGTTGAAATTAGCAGAAGAAAAGGATGATAATTAAACAGACAATTATATTACATAATAGTTATAATACGGTTTTAAAAATATTATACCTCAGTGAAAATTCTCATCGCTTCTTCCATAGACCTTGTTTGCAGAACATATAAAGCTGCCTCCTGAAATATTCATAAACCCCATGTAATCAACACCACAAAAACAAATGAATATCATGAATTTTAAACAGACATGAAAACAAGAAAGAAAAAAAAAAAAAAAGAGTTTGAACAAACACAAGACTAGGCAAAATTTACGTATAAAGTTAAGTTACAAACCCTTGCAAAATGGATTTGATCCATTCTCAACGTCCTTGGCTCGCTTTCTATGGATGACATTCTATCAATCCTCCTTACAACCGATGTCCCTTCTTCCCTCATTTTAGAGTGAGAACAGAAACGATATATAGATATATATATATATATATATAGATATAGATATTTCTAGTCTAGAGACTCTACCGGGAATTTGTATTTATAATGTTCAAGTTAAGTGTTCGCTAAAAATCTTTATATCTATAAATATACATGTGAAAGTACATGGTCATCAAGCACGGGAGTCCCAATGTCGTGGACAACTTTAATATGGCGAATCACGAAAGAAACGTGGCGAAGACCCAGAAGGCTCTTTTGGACACGTGGCGGCATGGGACCGATTGATAAAAATAAGGAACACGTGGCGGCATGGGACCGATTGATGAAAAAAGGACACGTGGCGGATGATGGGCACCTCGTCAGCATTTAAGAAAATAGCGGAATGACGTGTGATATTTGCAGGTTTCCTAAATAAGGAAAAATCCTTTCGGAGCCGGTTTTCGTGGTAACATGAAAATGGCCAACCAAAGACGGACAGACGTTGATTGTGTCTTTGTGGAGGTGGATTTTGTTGGTACACGTGGCTGATGTGGATTGGGTTGTGGGGTCCACTTGAGTAGGACACTTCTTCACTTTGACGTAATGGATGAGGATAAGGCTGTTAAGGTGTAGGGGATTATCCTTCACGTGAGTTCTAGGTGGTGGGCCATAGAGCCAATTGGGCCGGGTAAGGATATGGGCTGTATATCAGTTCGATTGGGCCTTGTCTCAATGATCCATTTGGAGAAAACTTGAGGAACCTCACAAGAATTAGGCATGTAATGACCTTCGGGACACCAGAAAAAAATTACCAAAGATCAACAAATTTGTTGTATCAAAGTTCATCATGTCGATAAAAGATAATCTACTAATTTTACCAGTAATGTACCATATTGTCAATGCAAACAAAAATGATGACCGACCGTTGCTGTCGCCAATCACCAGAAAGTAAACTAATAGATTAGCATCAGTAATCTATCAGATTACATTTTCTTTTCAACACAGATCAAGAGTCGTCCACCATACTAATTCCCCGAAACAACACATGACTATTGGTTTAGTTGCAAAAATTTCCTACTCTTCAGTGGAATGAATTTCTAATATTTTTATTAAAAAAAAAAAAATTTGGCATATCATGTAATCACATATATTGTAATTTGATAGCAATTATTTGAGTACCTATTTAGCAAATATTTTATAGATAAATAAGCGCTTCAAACGTTCAATCTTCCACACCATTCTCGTTTTTCCTGAATCTCAAAGTGTGTGGCACCTTGAATCTTTTTTTGAAATCCTAATTCGAGAATGGAATACCCAAATCTCCTTCCCATTCTTTTCTACTTATAAAATGCATGGCAGTCTCTTGTTTAATCAATATTTTATAGAAACTCGTTGCCAAGTTTCTAGTTTAAATCTTTTCTCTTGGAAAACGAAGTGTGGAAAATGACTAAGAAATATGCCCACAATTAAAAAAAAAAAAAAGAATGGGAGCACAGAAATACACATTTAATTCTTTATTATTTTTTTAAAGAAAAGCCGATTGTTATTTAATTAACTGAAGCCATATTGGTACTTACAATCGCATCAATGCAACTAGGATAATCTTCTAACCAAAATTGATCTTCAATAGACGATAGAGAAAGCTTTGCTAATGTGTGGGCAGCCATATTACCACAACGGGATATATGGCTGCACGGACTACCATTAATTTCACGCATCAAATCTGGATATGTCATTCAAAATAGGAGAATCAACAGTATCACAAATAATAAATGATCTGAATGTCACACTTAATTCTTTATTGATCTCATTGATTCAGTAGAAACCAAATAATTGTAAAGGGCACACAAATACAAATACAAATACAAACAAAAACACAGAGAGAGAGAGAGAGAGAGAGAGAGAGTAATGTATACAATTATGACATTAGAACCACTTGTCACCCCAGTTCTTCTGCTTCCACTCTGATGCTTTTCTTGAGCAATTCTGCATGAAATTTGACATATCAGATGTATACACTTCGAGCTTCTCAAGATTCCTCCTGCATCTCTCCATCTCAGCTTCGAGCTTTTCACGGATGCCTTTTTCAAATCTCGTTGCTTCAAAACCAAGAAAGGCTTCCAGTATCTCATCAAAAGAATCCAAGTATCGAGTAAGTGTGAAGCCTGTAACCTCTTGAATTCCGGTTAGGTAGAAATACAAGTGCCTAAGATCATCCTTTGTGATGTCTTCGACCGAAGTATTGCACATTTTGTCGACGACGATACACAACATAGTCGAGGCGATGCTCTTCATTGCCGATGTCAAATTTTCCCTGCCAACAAGATCTTTTCCGTACTTGCCAAGCAACGTTTTTAAAATCGGAGCCAATGTGTTTGGTACCATGTAACCATCCACATCCTCTACCTTTTGTCTTAAATACTTGTCATCTAATAATTTCAATAGACCTTCTTCAGGTGTGAAATAACGAAGCTCTTCTAGGAACATTTCGAAATCATCCATCTCTCTGAAACGTTCAAAAATTCTCCTAAAAATATTCTTTCTCTCAAAATAGAAAAATTGTTTAATTCTATCAATATCTTCAATCGATCCTTCGCGATCGAAGCGAGAATTGAAACGTCTATATTCCTTATATGAATTGCTTCGGAAAACCTTATCTGATGGGTTTTTAAAACCAAAGGGATCAAGCAACATCTCATTTTCTGGTTCTGTAAGCATATCTCTTATTTCTTTGAGGGTCGATTCACTTGAATTTTCCTTCAATTGATGATCCATTGATTCTATCTTCAACAAATTATCCCATCGGGTCTCTCTTAGGATCTTGAGCTCTATATCTTTTGTCTCTCCCTTGATTGCCTTCAGAATCTGATATATAGATAATCACAACGGATATTAAATTAAGTATAAGACACTATTTAATGGCATCGAAGAGATTGTAATTAGCCTAAACTGCCCTAGTAACACTAGCTATCATCTTGTGTCTTTTCTGCAAGTTATATTTTTAAGGGTTAGTGACCTAACTATATAAAGTTATCAGTACTTTTAATTCTATTTTTTGGTCCTTGGGGACGAAATTGAAATAAAATTTTTACATTCAAATAAAACCTTTGCAGTTTCTAAAAACACAAGGATAAATTGAGATAAAACAAAAACTGTGATGGATATTTATGTATTAAGTCTAATTTTAATTAGTATATCTATAGTATCTGTCATACATATTGCAACATGTTTTATAGCCAAAAAAAAAGTGTGGATTTTAAATACAAGTATTCAGTAGAAATATGAAAATTTAAACATGCCACATGCAAATTCAAAGTTTTTTCTTTTTTTAGTAGAGGCAAATTCAAAGTTAATTTGGAACGAAATTTTATTTCCCCCTTGAACATGATTATTTGTAGGGTATTTTACACATTTACCCTCGAACTTGTATGGTTTTAGTAATTTACCCCGTAAACTTTTAATTTTCGCAAGTTACCCCATCAACTTGTAAAATTATTGTAATATACCTTATTTTGACAATTAATGTGTTAAATTGGTGTCAAAATAAGCATGTTCCATGAAAAATTTCAACATCTCAATTCAAATGTAGCATAAATAGTTCAATTCTTCAACTTTTAATCCCCTAAATCTAATAAAAAATTTGAACAAATTTAATAAAATAAGGCATATTGTAACAATTTTACAAATTCAAGGGGTTGATTGTCGAAATTAAAAGTTTGGAGCCCAATTTACTAAACCACGACAAGTTCAGGAGGCATTTGAGCTAAAAACCCTTATTTGTACAATAAGCTACTACAAAGAGAGGATGTCATTAAATTATTCTATAAAACTTCAAAAAATTAGCCTACCTCATGGATCAAGCAATGTATGTGCGCAGCAAATTTGCATTCTTCACAGTAATAGATACGAAAAGATTGATCTCTTTCTTCTTCGCACACATCACAAAAATATTCATCTGAATCATCTTCGGAGATTGAATGTTCAGACAAAATCAAAGGGTGTATGTGATACTCATATTTGACAGTTGATGGTAAGGGACCACATAGAAAATGAAAGTTGAAAACACACTCCATGCAACGAAACATGAAGGATCGAGTACGATTGACTTCTTTAGGGACAACCTTCACATTCCCATAAGATTTTTCACAAGCATCACACTCAATATCACAGAAAGATTTCTCTACTAAAGAAAGCAAATGAGCATGACCTCGATAGTTTATAGTTGTGTCAAGAGAAACACATTCAGTACCCAATGTAAAGTCACACCCATCTTCCCGGCAACAGAAAATGAGCCTACAATCTTTTTTGCAACATGAACGACAAGATTGAGGCTTACTGACCTGTAGTATGAGAGAATGGGGCGAATGAACGGCGTGTTGAATTTTCTGAGGCAGCTCTCCGCATGATTTATGCAGAAAATTCTCACAGTTTTCGGAGATGCAAGAATAGGCTGGACCCGACCAGTTTGATTGACATCCAAAGCATTTAGCCGCTCTTTTATTGCTAAGATGATGCCCATGATCCATCAGTGTCATCGGGCGTTGATGGCAGGCAAATTGAGCGACATCGTGATCTTTGCAGCCATCAACATTGGATGTTATGGTTGGAAGTGGGATCATAGCACATGTCATATGCATGAAGAAATCGGAGCACATTTTGTCACATGCATAAAGATATTCATCATTTTCGAGGGGCTTCTCACAGTAATAGCAGCGACAAGTGTCGTTTAATGATCTCTTTGTGAGCTTCAGACCATGAAGAGGATGGAATGAGTGGTCGATGTGTTCCGGCAGTTTTGCACATTCTTGGTGGAGGTAATATCTGCACAGGCGGCACCAGTAGCAATCTAAACCCTTTTCTATTGTGCGATTGCACATATTACAAAAGCGTGGCGAAAAAGACAAATATACGATATACAAAGGATGCACATGACTGAAATGTTCAAGCACCATTATTTTTCTCTGAAGCTTTTTTTTTTTTTTTTTTTTTTTGAGGCCACTGCAAATATGATGGATTGCATCTTGCTCAAACTCCAATTTATATGTGCTCCTATTGCTTTTGTGAATGTTCTCCCATTATTATTTTACTGGAACCTTCACTATAAAGTTACATAGGTCATGATTAGTATATAGGAGATTGATTGATAACCTAATTCATTGATTGACTGCTTATGGCCATATAAATGCTCATTGTAAAGCATCAGAGTGTGAATGAATGAATAAAATTGCATGGTAGGCAAATTGTCAAACTACGTAAAAATTCATTTGTTTTTCTTTTTCTTCTACCTTTTGTTCTTCATTTTTTAGAAAGATATGGATTTTTTTTTTTTGCTGCAATCATTTCCTTTTTTTTCCCTCTCTCTTTCTTAAAGATATTATTTACACTCAATTCTCCTTTTTAGTTGAAAACTTAAAGTAGGATTCCCAAGTCCAACGTAACAATGAAACTATATCTATCTATCTCTTTGTGATACTAATACTTCAACATAATTTATTCCTTCTGTCTTTTTTTCTTTTTGTTTTCTTTTTGCAGAAAACAATATTCCTCCTATCTCATTTTATTCCTCTCTTCGTTCCATCCGAGCTACTCATGAAAAAACAAATCCCCTTTTGCCCATATAGCAAGTAATCATAGGCTAATCTACTACATATTATATTAGTTTTTTGGGATAAAATCATTTTGCCTTTTCTTATAGCGAAACATTTAGGAGACGTTTAGTTCATGGATTAAAATCATGTGATTAGAATCATTTTCAATTTACGTGTATTTTTTGTGAGAGAAAATACTGTAACAAACTACGAACCATGATTCGAATCAGGGGACGAATCCCCAACCAAACAACCTCTTAGATATTCGTGATTTTAATAACATTAAAATGGTAAGTAGACACATGAAAAGAAGGTTAATAAAAGTTCCCGTGTAATTCCTTTCTTTATACTTTCTTTCAAGAAGTTCTTTTCTTTATTCTTTGAAGTACTCTAACCTACATATATGGATCATTTCTAGTGTATTATCATTTACTCTTTTTTTTTTTTTTCCTCTTTCCTAAAAATATAATTTACAGTTTATTCCCGCTTTAGTTGAAAACTTAATGGTAGGTTTCCCAAATTCCACGTAACAATATTAAAACTGTATCCATTTATTCCTTCCTTTGTTCTATCGAAGCTCCTCATAAAAATACAATTCCATTTTGCCCGTGTAGCAAGTAATCATAGGCTAATATACTACTATAATATATTGTTTTTCTCCCCCAGCTTATTTATTCTCTTCTCACGAGTCACGAGTTACTCTATAAACATATAAATGAATTAAAGTACAACACATGTATAATAAGGAAAGAATCTCATTCAAAACTTTCAGAAAAATACTAAGACACCACGGGTGTTAAGCATCATCACTAATAGAAGGTGAGTTTCACTTGCGAAACTCACATTCTATTAGTGAGTAGTGCTAAGGGCCCGTTAGGCATTACTTTTAAACGTTGTTTTTAATTTTTTTAAAGAAGCTACAATATGTTGGGATATTTAGTAAATCTTGCTTTTGTCTTGCAGCTTCTAAAAACTGCTGTCGAACAATAAAATTTGAGAAGCAGATCAGGGGTTGATTTTGCACAGCAGCTTCTGTTGCCATTATCCAAATTTACTAAGATAACCTTAACAATAAAACTTAATTCTCAATATACCTATTTTACTTTCTTTCATACCAAATTAAAAAATATATATTTAAAAATATATTTAAAAATTAAAAATCTTTAATAAGTGTGCTATGCTAAATTTCATTCAAATATTTTTAATAATTATCAAAATATTTAAAAATAACAACAATAAATATTAGTATATGAATTGTTTTTCTTCTTGAATAAAAGTAATTTATTTTTAAGAACTATTTTAATTAATAAAATTTAATATATATATATATATTATTATGAATATTGACTATAAAAATAAAAATAAAACTAACTATAAAGATGTGTGATAAAATATGTCTACTTTTATCATTATACATTTTAACAGCAATTTTACACATAACTTACCAAACACATAAATTTTTTTTTTGGTGCTCGTACCAGCTTTGTAAAAATATTTACCAATCATCTACATGCTTCTAGTCACAACAACTTATTACTAATAATACAGCAACAACAAAAATTTTCAACAACACAATAATACTAAATTGGCCCTAAACACCACCAGTATCTTATAGCATTGCTCAAATTTCCAACAAAAAAGAATTTCATTCAAAACTTTTTGTTTTTGTCCTTTTTAGTAACAACGTCTTTAAACTAACATTGTTGTGTTTTGTCACTTACAGAGATACTCATTTGCGGGAACGAAACTAGCTAGTTTTATCACCCTTATGCACATTTCTTTTATATAAAAATGAATTTATCAAAAAGGCTCAATACACTTTGTTATGTGTACTACCTTGATTTTTAAGTCAAAACGAAGATCATTCTCAATTTATGACAAGAAAAGTTAATCCAATATATACACCAAGTGTTATCTTGAAAGATTTCTTTTTCTATAGAGCTCATGATACATGCTGATCAACTTGAAACTTATATTATTGATCTTTGTTATAAGGAGCAATTTTAAGATTAAAAGGGTACTAGTGATCTTGCAGGAAAAATAGTTCAGACAAAAAAAAAAAACTTATATTCATTAGTTTATTGATAATAATCCATCATATTATCTATATCCGTTGTAATAAGGAGCGGTTCTTAAGATTAAAAGGTATTTGAGTTTTTTATATGATTTTTAGATCTTGTTTCTGCTAATCCTGTTATTTTTGTCATCTTTTTGGTGATTTCGTGACTTAAAACAGTAATGATTTAGGAAATTTGGCATTTCCATTTTATTTATGTTGATTCCGTGATTTAATCTGGTAGATCCATCGTGTGGTTTTTAGATCTTTTTTATTGAAAAGGAAGCATAAATAAGCAAATTACTAGCCATCCAGCCAATATGATATGTTACCAATGGTAATCTAGCTTACTACTCGACATCTTGCGCCGACAACCACGAGAACAATTTCAGCAACACACAATTTGTTAACCGTTGACGGGTGCTTTGGAGGGGATCAGAATTCTATCACTCCAATAATTCTTAGGATGCCACATTAAAGGGGCATTCATGAAGATTATCCATTATAAATTATAATTTGATGATCAATACGATAATTAAAGTGTTTTATCATCCGCATTTATCAAACAAACAAACCCTGTGGTAGCAGCCAATACTTCCCCTCAATTCAATTAGCCGGTTGTTGAAACAGATATCACTCTTTTGTATTTTTGTCCCCTCACCATTGTCACCACTGATGAAAACATTAACAATTTTGTCGATATTTCTCAGATAAAGTTGGGACCATCGATATTTGTTTTCCGAGCATCCATAAAATATCATTACCTTTTGTGTGTTATTTAGTATTATTATTATTATTATTATTTTGGTTGTTTTACTTTTTACCGACATCGACATCCATATGAACGTGTTCTATATATGATCGTGTTTTACTTCAGTAGACTGACTGCTACCACAAGTTACACACATGATCGTGTCCTATATATGTATGTATAGCTAGTTTCCTCTCTGCTTTCCAAAATTTTGCAATCTAAAAGGGAGCTATAGATTTTACATTTTGTCATTTGCGTCCTAAATTTTCTGTTAGGATGAATAACGCATGAGAGGACAAATTTTTCATTAAAATTAACTCAAAACTTCTGCCTATAATTCTTATTATTTTTCAAAAGCAAATGAAACATATTGTGTGGCAGTCTCTTTGTTGAATCGTGTTGGGAGATGGAACCTAATCTCATGGAAGAAAAGCCAGGAAAAGTTATGGGCGCTGATTCGCAGTGGAGTCTGTTTTTGGGCCTTTTTTTTAAAGGTTTTTTCAAGGCTTTTCTTGCAATATATCAATACCTATCATTAGGAGTTTTATGTGTGACGATTTTCTGAGGGAAAATTACAATGAGAGGTTGAGAGAAACACAAATGAGTGTTTGAGTGATTCTCTTGTATTGATTTTCTTCAACAATATAGTCATAAATTTGCAAAAATAAAAACATGACGTAGCTAAATTAGTGAACATGTATAAAATTTCTGGTGTTAGTTCCTGCTTTTATTTTCGTTAATTATTTTTCGTTCTCGGTAATAATTTAGGTTTAACCTAGATTTTTCTTAACAAATCAATTCTCTTTCTTTAGGAATTCTTGGTATCCATAAAATTTTTTCAAAGACATTAATGCAATCGATTGGTGCTAGACTATCTATGCTAAGTCTAACTTATGATCAACCACAGACTTCTCTCTTCGAAAAATGAATGTCGTATAAAATGACTAAGAAATAATTAAGTCCAATTAAAAATATATATATATGGGAGCACTGCAATACACAATTTATTTTGTATTCATTCATTGGTCCACTTGGACAGAAACGAAACAATTGCAAAGTACAAACAAAGGAATCATATTGTATTGTATATACAAAAGAAAAGTAAAGATTAATAATACCAAAGAAGAAGTTTAGTACAGTAATCTTGAGATATCATCAGATTCAGAACCACTTGTCACCCCTAGTCATCTGCTCCCATTCCGATGCTTTGTATAAACACTCTCCCATGAAATGTGACGTTTCGGATGCATAAGTTTCGAGCTTCTCAAGATTCTCCTTGCATCTCTCCATCTCGGCTTCTAGCTTTTCACGGACTCCTTTGTAAAATCGTATTGCTTCAAAGCCAAGAAAAGCTTTCATAACGTCTTTAAAAGACTCCAAGTATCGACTAACTAATGCAAAACCCGTAATCTTTTGAATTCCAGTTAGGTAGAAATACAAGTGTCTAAGATCATCCTTTGTGATGTTTTCGACCTTATTTTTGCACATTTTGTCGACGACTGTACATAGTAAAATCGTGGTGAGGCACTCCATGGCGGGTGTCAAATTTTCCTTTCAGACAAGATCTCCTCCGTACTTGC